CCGTCCTTGCACCGGGCGGCACAGAGGAAAAAGCGAATAATCTCTTCGAGGCCCAGAGCTTTCCCTGAAAACAGTGTATATAAATAAATAAATAAATATATATGTAGATGAAAAGTACCTCTACATAGTCCCTCCTTCAGACGGAACCGCTGGCGATCGCCTGAGCCCGCCACGGGCTTTTAACAGGAACAAGGGGGAGCGGGGCCCTCATTTTATCCTTTTCTCATATTTAGTGGCTCCCTTTGACGGAAACGTAATTTGTATAATTACCCGAGCGCACACGGGCGACTGATGGGCTGTGGAGTGTGCAGCTCTCGACGCTAATTGCTCTCAGGAAAGGATTCAGGGCGGCTTAAGGCGAGAGATTTGCTTTTTAGCGTTAGGATGGCCAGCTTTCGGCTCGTCTTAAATCACCGTGGGTTAAGGGTGTACATAGTCTTTGAAAAGCCCCTTTTCCAGAGTGGGGAGCATCGCTGCCTCTTAGCTCACATGTGTGGACTTACAAAGGTCAGATCCTGCCAACCTGCACGGATTGCAATGGCACTGCTCATCTCAGCAAAAGTCTGCACTTGAAACTATAGCTTGTGGGATCGAGCCCCTTAATAAGAATCGCTCTTTTCTCTCTCTCTCTGCAAACAAAACTAGGATTCTTTTCTCTCTCTTTTTAATAGAAGAAGGGGTAATTTGGAAACGTCTCTCGTGGTCGAAATAATTTTATTTTATTCAGAATATACAGTTTAATTCCTCTATCTACAATTATTTACAGGGTTAAAATAACATTGAAAAAAGTCTCTGGAAAAGTTGAGGTCATAGATTTCAAGGCACCATTGATAGTGTCCACAGCTGAGCCAAAAAAGTCCGTACTGTATAAAAAAGGGTTTCCTTTGAAATGCAATAAGTTACATGCACAAGCTTTACACATTTTAATCTTTTTGTTTGTTTGTTTCCCTTTAAAAATCCCCCATATGCATTCCTTTCGTTATTATTCCTTAACAGTAAAACACAGGAGTCCAAGGAACAAAAAAATAAAATAATAATAATAAAGGTCAGATTCTAATAAATTGTCCCAGAGGCCAGCGCTAATGGGTGCTGTAGGGAGCCGTGGGGTTGGAGGTGGGAGTTGATGGCGTTGGCAGCAGGGTACCATGAAGCGGAGCTCTCCAGGTAGCTGGATGCAGGGGATGGGTTGGAGTTTGGAGGGTGAGCGTGTGCGTGGGCATGATGGCTGAGGGAACGGGACGAGCCCTGAGGTTCCCAAACCGCAGGCGACTGTGGAGAGTTGCAGGCCATGGGGTCGCTGGAGCTGGGGCTGTGCTCCGGAGGCATTTCCCCGTTCTTCATGATCTTCTTGATCTTGGATCTTTTATTCTGAAACCAAATTTTCACCTGGGAGGGAGGCGGGAGGAGAGGAGAGGAGGGGGAGGGAAACAAGCACCATTAATGCCAGCCGCGGAGACGCTCCGCGGATGCGGGCGCTGAAGGAGACCCGCTCCC